GTACTTATCAACAAGGTACTGCCAATATTTAATTCCATTCTCGTTTCGGCCAGGAAACTTTTGAATGAAAATTTTATTTATTTAATTTTCAGAACTATTTTTGATAAAACATAAAATTATACTCATATTTGCGCTATAAAAATACAAATTGATCGATACATATATAGATTGCTTGATTGATACTATTCAAAATGAAAATTGATTGACTGCTTGATAGATTAATTGATTGGTTAATTGATTGGTTGATTGATTGATTGATTGATTGATTGATTGATTGATTGAATGATTGATTGATTGATTGATTGATTGATTGATTGATTGATTGATTGATTGATTGATTGATTGATTGATTGATTGATTGATTGATTGATTGATTGATTGATTGATTGATTGATTGATTGATTGATTGATTGATTGATTGATTGATTGATTGATTGATTGATTGATTGATTGATTGATTGATTGATTGATTGATTGATTGATTGATTGATTGATTGATTGATTGATTGATTGATTGATTGATTGATTGATTGATTGATTGATTGATTGATTGATTGATTGATTGATTGATTGATTGATTGATTGATTGATTGATTGATTGATTGATTGATTGATTGATTGATTGATTGATTGATTGATTGATTGATTGATTGATTGATTGATTGATTGATTGATTGATTGATTGATAAGTAAAAAAATTCTCAAAAGAGTAAACAATTCCACACTGACCCTATCGACATGTCCCCAGAGCCAGTGTCTTTTCTCCATTGGGAATTCATTCACAGCCTTAGCAATAAGAATTATTTGGTTTAACTTTTTGATTAATTTGTACAAAATGAGGGCAGAAATCAGAGTTAAAAGAATGTAGAAATAGTTAAAAATTGGTAGAGCCTTATCCATTTTTATGTTTTAATTTAGTTTAAAAAAATGGAAAAATGGCAAGATATAATTTGGTTTATTAGCGATTTTGCGAGCTAAATTATTGTATATATGCCTTGTAAAACTGTTATATTTAATTTAGTTAAAATTTAAATATGATAAATGTATTTTTACAATAAATTATGGATATTTCTGAATCAGTAAGTCATTGCAGGGAACATTTTCTTGTTTTTGCAACACATGGGAAAGATTTCGTTTCATTTATATACGAAGGATGGGTGATGTTTCAGACCGAATATTAGCACAAGAGCATTCATTCATGTTGAAATACAATGTTATATGAAGTGACATCAACAAAACAGCAACAACATCAACAAAACAACAACACAGAGAAAGTCAACATTTTGTAGTAAACAAAAACAACCTAATGTGCTAAGTTCAAACATAGCGTCAAAAACTAGACATTCAAAAAAATTCTTTCTTTACATTGACCGCAAATTAATGTCAATGAACTTTTGTATGTATGTATGTATGTATGTAAGTTTGTTTGTTTGTTTGTTTGTTTTTGTTTGTTTGTTTGTTTGTTTGTTTGCTAGCATCTACGTCACAATTGTTTTGTATATTTAATTGGAAAAGTCAAAATTTTACGAGACTTTGATAAATTTATGAGGAAGAAAATGTGCGTAGATGAATACGAACTAGGGTACACACACAATCCATCTACTTAATTAATGTTCAACAGTTTACACGTATATGGAATATTAACAAATTATTAAGTTGTTACTATTTATTTAACATAACTTATTGAAATATTTAGTATGAAAAATAAAAGTTTCTAACAGTTTATTAGCTGAATGTATGAAAAATTTTCTTTAACGATCATCTTTTGACTACTTATCACACTTAATGTATGATTCGTTATGACCAGGGCTGGGCAAACTACGGCCGGCCAAGCAATTTTATGCGGCCCGTGATGCCTTCTTCTTCGTCTCAAAAAAAAGGTCTTCATCCAGACAGACGTTATGACCAAAAACCAGGAGCCACAAATCTTAAAAAATTCTCCCCTCCCCCGAGTCGAAAAAATTTGCTATTTTAGTACATATGCGGCCCTTCAAAGGTAAAATAGATCTCAATGCGGCCCTCACAGCAAAAAGTTTGCCCTCCCCTAGTTATGACCCTATTTCATATTTTACCTGTATGTATGTATATTCTTTCGTTAACTTTAGTAGTCAATTGAAAATAGTAGATGCCGATTGGAACTCTTTTTTTTTATTTCGTTTAGTTTTCGTTGAGGCAGAAATAAACTTGGTTAAAACAATTATTTATGACAAGTTACCTAAGTGCGATCTTTTTGAATTGTTACGAGTTACTATGATTATCGTGGGGGAATACCCCGACAGACATAAAAATATTTACGAATTTCACTGACTAAAGTAATTTTAAGTAAAAGTAAGCTCACTGCTCTTAGATTAGATTAGAAAAAATCCTTCAGACTTTTGAAATGCGATATAGTAGATAAAAATTTTGTGGTATTTATGAGTAGACAATCAATGTCATTTATATCAAATCATCCGTATTATATCGCAATTATTTATCTATTTATTTATTATTTATAAAACAATTTTTAATTTGTTCGCATATAACGTTTTTCATAAAGCCCTATTTCTTGAATTGATAGCGTAACTATCAAAGCGTCTGGCACAAGATGCCCGAGGACTCGTAGTGACCGAGTTCAAAAGCAAAAAGATGCCCACCTATCATAAACAACATATCTGACGTGTAGACGCATCTGATAGAATCACAGGGCAAAAAATTTACCTCTGAACTTTAACCTTTTAAAATGGGATGTTAGTCATTATTGTTCAGTATATACGAATACCATTTAGCTTTTTTTAATCGTATTATATTAAGTAAAAAGTAAAACCGTTTAAAAAGTATTAATAATGAAATAAAAATAACAAAACTTATTTCAAAATGTCAGCGGAAGTTGTTATCAAACAGATTAAAATGAATTTAAAGCGATTGCTATGTGTTTAAACTATCTAAGACTGATTCACGCGTTACACACACACACACACATGTAAATGCATGCATTACATGTGAATGAATAGCTCTTCTTAAATGTTTGTGTGAATGAATGAATGGATAAATGAATGGATGAATAAATGGATGAATCAATGAACAAATGAATGAACGAACGAACGATCGAATGAGTAGATAATTTAAGTATTATCAAGTACAATCTATCAAAAATCACATATTAATCTAATACTCATTAATCACTTAATAATAAACATTATTCAAGTGTGTATCTTTGCGTATATGAGTGTGTGTACACTGTACATATGTGTGAAAACAAATGTGTATGTGTGTATGTGCATACTAATTTTCTGTATCCGTGTACCGTGAGTGTCTGTTTATGAAGCTGGATCTTTTTTTATCCCTACGAAAAGAACTCCGGAAGGCATCGTCCGCAATTTTTTCAAGCTCCTCAACACTGGGATAAAGTTCGTTGCCATCCTGATCGTGCCTGGGATCTTTTGGGAGAAGAAATGGGATTGAACGGGTCAAATTGAATTTTAAAAAATTAAATCAAATATAATTTGCATAATGTATGTAATGTAGTGACACACACCACACACCACACACACACACACACACACACACACACACACACACACACACACACACACACACACACGCCTACACGACACACACACATACACGCGTGTACATACATACATATCATATAAATGTTGTGCTCAAAATTCAAATTATAATTAAACACAGATTTCTAGTTAAAAATTTGATTGCACGCATATGCGTTTTGTTAGCTGCTGTTAGGTGTGTTGATATATTTATTTTGAAATATATTTTTTTCATATTTGTAACTATGATTATCAGTAAAGTTTCAACACCTCGAAAAGTTGCATCTTCAACTTCATAGTAAGGCGTCGGACAGTTACTAATAACAGTTGGGTCTTCATTCAATTTCTTGATACTCAAGTATCGGTTGAGAAACGGTTTTTCATCCGATCCGGTATTTATATCGCATTTTAACTCAGTTAAGTGGCTGTTTTTGATACTTTGGCGGTTGTTCGTGTTGTCGTTGTTGCTGTTGTCGTTGTATATGTTGTTGTTGTTGTTTTTGTGGTTGTTGTTGCTGTTGTATATGTTGTTGTTGTATGTGTTGTTGTTGTTGTTGTTATTCTGGATGACGTTTCTGGGTTTTATGCTGTTGAAAATTTGCTCATAAAGATGATCATCACAACGATTCAACATAGTTGTGCTGTAAATGTTTTCGTCATTATCAGTTTTGTTGTTGTTGATGTTGTTGTTTGCGTTGATGTAATTATAGTTTGATAATTTGTTGTTAATGTCATTTATTTTATGGTTGGTGTCGTTAAAATCTGTGGTTCTGTTGTTGCCATTTGTTTTGTTGTTATTCTTGCTGTGTTTGTTTTTCGTGTTAATGTAATTATATTCGGCTGTTGTTTTGTCAAAGTCCTTAAAATCTGTAGCTTTGAGGTTGTAAGCAGTAATGACATCAGTTGTTTTGCTGTTGATGTGATCAGTTTTTCTTGTGATGTTTTTGATGGCAGGTTTGTCTTGCTCAATACCACCGTTGAAATTGTAGTAGTTCATTGTGGAGATGAAGATTCTACAGCAGGCATCTTCATTCGAATTTGATGTGACGTCTGGGTCGTTGTTGTCTTTGCTAATGTTTTTGTTGATGTTTTTGTTGTTGATGTCTCTGTTGCTGTTGTTGTTGTTGTTGTCGTTATTGTCATCATCATTTTTAAAAAATTTCACGCCACTTATGTAATGAGCTGGTTGGTGATGGTGATTATGACTGTTTTGTTGATGTAATCGTTGTTGATGATGTAGCTGACGTTGTAGTTGGTGTTGTGGTCGCGTGAACTGTTTTTGTCCTGTTGGAGGGTTGAGTTGTTCACTTTTCAACGAGTGCTCTTCATAAAAATGTCGGTTTAGTTGGTCATTTTTCTGGATTTGATGTTGTTGTTCTTCATCCTGACTGTGTTGTTCATTTACGGAATGTGGTCTTTGATGCGATGGAAGTTGTCGCTGGAGTCGTTGTTGTGGGTAGATTTGTGGCTGTGGCTGTTGTAGTTGCGACTGTTGTGGTTGCGACTGTTGTGAATGATGCAGTCTCCAGTTCTCACCCCAGTCAACTTTTCCACTTACATCATAGGTCGACCTACCTGGGTATGTTTATGGCTATCATCCGAGTCTGAACTATCATTCTCATTCAGAGTATTCTACTCTGATCAACTATTGACACGTTCTTAAAATCGTTTAAATTGATTTTATCACGATTTGTCAAACATTTTCAAACGATGTATAACTGGTTTTACTACTGCTACTACTGCTACTTTGACTGCTACTACTACAGCTACTACTGTATGATTAAAAGTACTGCTACTATTACTGTTACTACTGCCACTACCGTTACTACTAATAATACAACACTCGGACTACTACTGCTGCTGCTAAAGCTACTGCAGTTGCTACTACTACGACAACCACTACTTTTTTTATCACTTAAACTGTTAGTACAACTACAATGTTTGTAAAACGTAAAATTTTAAACAAATTACGGAAGGTAAAGGTAAAAAATTGTACTTCTATTGGTCGAAAGAATGCGTCTGATGTGGGAACGAGGCTGGTGCTTCTCAACTCGTCGCCAACATTCCTCCAAGATTTCCATCTTCGCGAGATTCCTCGTTGAAAAAAAATCCATTCCTCCCGCTGCATCCATCAAAAAATTTCGTTACGACATTCCCTTAACAGAGTCATTGGTCGTTCATGATTGAAATGTTGCTTTCTATCGTGATGTTAATGATTCTTTTGCGAATATACATAAGGTTTTTACGTCAGAGATATGTTTATTAATTTACCTTTTAATAAATTGGCAGATAAGTGAATGAACAAATAAGTGAATGAGTTAATGAATGAGTGAATGTTTGAATGAAGTGAATTTATGACTGAATGAAGGAATGAATAAAATCTAGAATAAAAAAATGGATAAATGGTTAAATGAGTGAATGGTCGAATGAATGAATAAATGAATGAATGAATGAATGAATGAATGAATGAATGAATGAATGAATGAATGAATGAATGAATGAATGAATGAATGAATGAATGAATGAATGAATGAATGAATGAATGAATGAATGAACGAAAGAGCGAACGAATAAATGGACAACAAATAAATAAATCAACCTTGAATTTTGTGCCAAATACACCCACTACTAATACTCACTTTTTGAAAAATGCCAAAGCAATCTACTTGAACACTTAATTTTAAAGTATATAAAATTTAAAATATATCACTATGAGTCTCTCGAACGATATACAGCAACAATATAAACAAAAATACCTATTATTGGAAGAATGCTAGAATGCAGTAAGTTACATAATAACAGTTTTTTTCATATTTTGGTTATTTATTTCGTCTAATAATACCCATCGAGCGCTCACTTGAACGTTGATTTTGAATAAATTTACATAAGCTTCGTTTATTGAGAAAAAAACACTTCACTCTTCTTATTATTTCTATTATTTTTATTATTAATAATAGTTAGTTGTTAATTGTAATTGTTAAAAGTAGTAATAGCAGTAGTAGTCATAGTAGAAGTAGCTGCTGCCACAGTAATAGTAGTAGCAGAAACAACAGTAGTAGTAGCAGTAATAGTAGTAGTATTAGTAATAATAGTGATACTATGTGTGTGTTTGTGTGTGTGTGCATTGTGTGTGTGGTGTGTGTGTGTGTGTTTGTTTGTGTGTGTGGTAGTATGTTTCTAGTTGATAGCTAAAATAAAGCTGATGTTATCGATTTATATTTCAATACTTTAAATAGATGATTGATTCATTATCATTAGTGATATGACGTACGTGCATTATACATATACGTGTGTGTGTGTGTGTTTGTGTGTGTGCGTGTGTGATTATAATATAGTAATAATATAATAATAAATATAATCTATATAAAATTAATAATAGTATTAATTAATCTGAAGTATGAAATCAATTAAATTCTTGGTCGTCATGGTAAAAAGCCGAGATTAGCGTCAGTTACACGCGCAAACACACACACACGCACGCACGCACGCACATACACAAAAACGCACACAATTTTATTTTATGTTCTATTTTTTTGGCCATATTCATTATTTTAAATCAATCAAACTTTCCTAGACAACAAAAAACTTTTTTCATCTTTTATTAATTTTCAAATAAATTCCATCTTCTGTTCTCATAACCAGTTCAAACTTAACCATTACAACATTTAAACTCAGTGTGTACCTATCTATAAATTAAAATTAAATAACTAATTACTTCACAAAAAAATAAATAACTCATATTCACAACCTGAGGTAATCAGACTTCCGAGATAATTGAAGCTGTAGATTTGTTGTTTCTTCTGTTTACCATTAATGATTATGGAGCAGATCGGGCGTTTTGCTTTTACTGATAACCATACAGTCCCTACAGCAAAAGGTTTTCATCACTGAGAACAAAATCAGTCGTTTAAATTTAGTTACTGGTTAATATCATTTGTATCTTTATCACTGAATATATCATCGACTTCTTGCTGACAACCCTGTCTTAGTAACAAATGAGTTCTATTTATACTAAGGAAGAATTGCAAACTTCTGTATTGTCTATATTTTATTAAAGATCACTCTGCCTAGTTAACACATTACGGAAATTCAGTTATTGATTGTGAAACATGTCACATTTATATCATGATTAGGATATACAAATATAAGGAAATATGCGTTATGTACAATGCAAACTCAACACAGTGCTAATTAGAATAATGAACCTTTTTCAAATCTGCTTGTGTGCAACAATATACATCGGTCTAAACTGCCATATGTTTTGTTTTTTTGTCGTAAAATGAATTAAAGATCTTTTATTAGTTGTACTTTTGATTAAATTTCTAAAATAAAATGGCTCAGCAGGGTTTTAATGATTACTTGAGGTCAGACAAAGGTTCCCCACGTTCCGTAATTATGATATCAGGTGCTTTCATTTTTAGATTTTTGTTTTTTTGCAGTTTTTCCTTTATTTTTTCCTTAAATTTAGTCTTGTTAAGTTTTTATTTCAAAAACATTTGAATTTTTTCATTAAAAATAATTGTAATTTCACTTTATTTTATACAGTTGAACTATTATTTAACTTTTTAAGATTTAATTTTCATAAAATATAAAATAAAATACAGTTACAATTTTCAATGAAAAAAGGGATTTTAAAATGTTCATTATTATAACTTTTTTTATAATTATTATAGCACATGGAGATGTCAGAAGTCCAACAAAAGATGTCCAAGTGAAGCAGGAAGATTTAGATCTAATTTTGAATGAGGCCAAAAGAGGTGGGCGTCATTAAAAATTATTCATTTTTTCTAACTTTTATTTTATTCTTTTTAAAACATTGTTCACAAAAAGTTTATTTATTCAAATAATTAATTTTAAGGAATTGTTTATAAGCACAGGCCTAATAAGCTTTTAGTAGCCTAATGCAATAAAGCAACATTAAGCCAAAAATACATTGAAAATACTCAAAAAATAGTTAAATTTCAAATTATTCAATATTTCACTTTATTAAGGGCTAGATAAATTTTCCTCATCATCTAATAATAACCCAAATGCATGGATGAATGAGATTCTAAACGAAGTCACTAAATCTTCACCGGCTAAACAAGTTGCCATTGGGGGCATATCAGGATGGTCAGCCATTTTTTCTCATTTATTTTCAAATAACTTTAGTTGAATATATTTCTTCTTTACCTTCTGGCCTATGAATTTTTAACAATTATTATGTTTTATTTACCTTAAATTTAAATAAAATTTGTTATGGGGTTTAAAAAATACTGCTCAGGTGTTCAGGCTATCTGATCGGAAAAGTTGGAAAAATTGCACTGATAGCAGTTGGAGGTAGCTTCATCATTCTACAGGTTAGTAAAGTACTACTCATTTCATTTCATCATTTCACTGATTATTATCATCACTATCTTAATTGTTATCATTGTTGAGTCATTTATTCATTTAAATTAATAATTTCGCTGATTATTATCCTCAACATTTTCAATATCATCAGTGTAGTCTTGTTAATAATTGCAAGGTATAAATAATATTTTTAACTATTTTTATAATTATATTTGCGAAATCATCATTTTTTTCCCAGCTTGCCCACAACCAAGGCCTGATACAGATCAACTGGAATGCCATAGAATCAAAAGTGAACTCCACCCAAAAAGAAATGAAAAAATCTATCGACAAAAATCTTCCTGGATTGATTGAAAGTGTCAGTATTTCGTTCATTCATTCATTCTATCATTCATTCTATCATTCTTTCATTCATTCATTCATTCATTCATTCATTCATTCATTCATTCATTCATTCATTCAATCATTCCTTCATTCATTCACTTTGCTTCTTCTTAATCATTTCTGTTTAATCAACCCTTGATATAGCGTTATTTCGTTGAGATACTGCTATGCGTCACAATTATTAATTAATCAATCAATTAGTTATTCATTCAATCAGTTAATTAATTATATAATTTATTAATTAATTTAATAATTTATTTATTTATTTCTTAGGCAAAAGATTTTGGTCTCAAGTACTTATATCTCTCTGGATCATTCTGCGCTGGGTTGCTGCTTGGCATATGTAGCTAATTACAAATAATTATAATATTAATAATTATTATTATTTTGAAATTTATTATTTATATTATTATTATTTTATTATTCTATTAGATGGTTTTATTCAACAGTATAAATTTATTTTATTATGTTCTGTAATTTCTTCTCTGGGAATGTAAAGTGTTTTTTTGCTTCATTACGTTTAATTTGCGTTACTTCACGCGTAAGCACACAAACACACACACACAAATACACACATATATACACATACACACACACACACACCCATATACACACACATACACTTACACATATGTCATAAGGTGTACCCAACCTATATCATCAAACATTATAATTTTATAACGTTTTTCTTCTGCAAAAATGAGAGTTCATTCAAATTTATTTTCTTGTTACTTTTTAAAATGTGCGATTTGCCGAGTAACCATTGTAGTATAAAACATAGCTATGTCATTAACATGTGTTATTATACACATTGCTTGTGTATTTTTATTATATATATGTGTGTGTGTGTGTGTGTGTGTGTGTGTGTGTGTGTGTGTGTGTGTGTGTGTGGAGAGAGAGAGAGAGAGAGAGAAAGGAGGCAAGGCAAGGCAAGTGAATCAATGGTTTTCACATTTTAGACATTTCTTTCCTCTTTCCATGTCGCTTGAAAATGATTTGATAACACTTGCCAATTTATAATCTCAGTCAGTCTGTCTCTCTGTCTGTCTGTACGTTTGTGTATGTATGTATGTATGTGTGTATGTATGTATGTGTGTATCCGTATGTTTTTAAAATTGAAATCTGTTTTCATGTACTGTGTACAATTGTACAATGTACAATGCATACATACAGTGATTGAATTTAAATAGTTTTAACGATGTTAATGACGACACAATAATAATATTATTTAATCATTATGATGATAAGAGTTCTTAGATTGATCCAGTCTAAGCTTTTCGCGAAGATTTCATCAAATTGAAATAAAATCATTTCGAGCATTTTTTTTTCTTCGAGTTTTTTTTCGTTTTACTATTAATGAATTCAAAAAAACTTGGATTCATAGTCAAAATTGATATAATATTTTTGTAATATTTCAACGTCTATTAATCATCTTTTAATTCTAAAATGTGGAAAATTGTGAAAATTCAAGTAAAGATAAGATAGTTAGTTAACAAATGAAACATCTGTAACCTACTAGAATGTTAACAAAACGATTTTACTGGGACACACACACGTACACTGCACGATAGTACGATGAAAAAAATGCTCACATGTTTGCTACACAACATAATGGAGTAGCATAACATATCAACGATTATGAAGAAAAAATGACTTAAATTATTCTTCTTAAAGGTTAAATTCGTCACAATTATGCAAATACTATGTTGAATTTTTGTTGAGTGTTAACTGGTTACTAATATTAAACGAATAGAATTGGTTTTTACATTGTTATTATTATTATTTATTAATATTATTATTATAAACAATTATGATAAGTAATGTGTCATATTTTCCAGTGTCATCCAGTGGACAATGTTGGATCCACGCGCAGCTAGCATTGGCCATACTCCAGTGGCTTTCCTGGTTCAATGTTCCAATTTTAAAAATAGTTTTACTCTGAACGTTGGAAAACTACGTTTTTTAAAGACAACACGGAATAATTAATAATAATGAAAAAGTAACAACAGCTAATATAATTATTATATATTTATAATTTAATTTAATAATTTATATAGCACACCTTCGCAAAACTGGCCGCCAGTGTTGGGAGGTGGACATTTACATTTCCTCTTCCGGATTCTCATCCCGGAAACACATGGACTCCATTCGTCCCACTCACACCATTTTCCGCTTACTGGGTGTGTTTGTTTTTGTTTTTCATTATGTCCGCATGTTTTATGGGAGGTGCATGTTAGAGAAAATGTTTGTTGAATTCATGTTTGTATGTTGAATTCTTGTATGTTTGTTGAATTCATGTTTTTGGTAAAATTGTATATATCTACATTGGTTTCTTTGTAGATTTCTATGAATTTTCAATACAAGTTGTTGGTGATTGAAGTAAAATTTTATTCTTTTCAAATTTTCTAGCTATATTTATGAACAGTGTTACGCAGTTTATAACCAAGAACAGACAGAAATAAACAGAAACCTAATAAATTCCTATATTTCTTTAAAATATTAATTTTTGTCAATGTTTAAATCCCAACAACATATCAGTATGAACAATTCAGATGGAAATTCACGCAAATAAAAAAAAAACATCCGAAAATCCATCGCCAAAACTTACCAGGATTCCTACAATAATCATTATTGTAGCATGGTTGTTTCGACCAGGCGAGCCCAGGACATCTGCGGCCACCAAACATCGGTTGGGGGTCGGTGCACCACCTGTATCTTATTTGTTCCCCCAACGTGTGCGAACATGGCGGGGCGTCGCAGATATCCCATTTGGACCATTCGGTCCAATGCCCGTCAACTTTGGATGTAGTGTGTGTGTGTTGTGGTGTGATGTGTTGTGTTGTGTTGTGGTGTGTTGTGTTGTAGTGTATTGTGTTGTGCTGTGTTACTGTGTGTCATGTTCTTTTGTGTTGTTACATTCTTGCTTGCTGTTGTTAAATATGAATTTTTATTATTAAAACAATATTACAATTGGTAGAAATGTTTGAAAGGTGATGAACTCATAAACAAACATTACAAACAAACGAGCGAACAAACAAACAAACGAGCGAACAAACAAACAAACGAGCGAACAAACAACGTGAAAGCATAAAACATTTGAAACGTTTATCTTGAGAACCTTGGCAGTTGATCCTTGAAACGCAAGGGATCGTCTCAACTGATGGACCAACGCATTTTTCACTAATTTTTACATTCTCATCGTCATTAAACGTATCATCAATATTTTCGTTATTGAGCGTGTAATTTTCACGTTTCGTTGCAGAGTTTGTATGTCCACTGCCATCTCTATTACGACCACTTTTAATAAGATTACCAGCACCATCGCCATCTTTATAATGTTCAACATCACCAACGTCATCATCTACGTCATCATCTACGTCATCCGGTTGCGGCATTTGAATGACGGTGACGTCATCGTTGAGGATCGTGACGCAACTTCTCTTTCTTCTTCTCACGCCTCGGCCACAGAATCTTGAGCAATCCGTCCACTCCGACCACTCCAGCCATTTTATAACTTCTGCGGGAAATGACGTCATCAATGATGATGACGGCGACCAATGATAAAAAAGTTAATGATGATGACGTCAGTGTGATGACGTCATTACAGGTAATGACGCTAATGATATTGGTGACTTAACATTGAAACGTTCGATTTAATGAAGAGAAAATAAATATAACATCTGTCATAACGTTAACATTAATGCCTGTTAGAACAAGGAAACATTGAGCAAAAGTAAAAATTCCGAAAAATCGAATTTATACAAAATTTACTAACACAAAAAGTAGCTTCATTGTTAAAATCGAATGCAGAAATTAATATACGTACAGACATTAATATAACAAATTTCAATATATTAGATACTATCAGAAAAAAATAGAACATAAATTGATAAATTATAGGGTAGGGATTGTATTTAATGAAAATTGTATACGTAACGGCCTTATTACCTTTATAGATAATAATTTGTGAAGCGTCTTACTTTTGCAAAGATTAGGATCATGTTGACAGACTGTTTCTTGCACTTCATCGGGACAGTTTTCCACCAGACACTTCCGTGTCCTCTTCCTAGTCCCAAACTTTTCACATGTTGATCCGCTACAAGCTGTCCATTCAGACCATGGTCCGAATCCGATGTTTAAACCGTTGTAAGCTTTTCAAAGGTTAATAATTAGTTTATCTTTTTATTTATTGGTTTATTGATTCAATTGTTTGTTTTCTGTTCATTTATTTATTCGTTCGTTCGTTCGTTCATTCATTAATTCATTCTTCGTTTGTTCGTTCATTCATTATGATAGCATGAAAAGATATATATCTGTCTTTTTGGAAAAAATATTCCTTACTAAGTTCGTTATAGCTTATTACGGTGCTAGCATTTCGGCATTCAATCAATGTCGATATGTAATTAATTAGCATGGGGCTTTGAAAGTAACATCATCTAGATAATTATTCATATTTTCGTTCATTCAATCAATCGTTTTTTCATTTATTCTTTCATATTTTTACTAATTTTTTAGCCATGAAAACGAACCAAGAGAGAGAGAAGAGAGAGAGAGAGAGAGAGAGAACTATCCTCATGGGTCAATCTATTGAGGAGCAGATCCATGCAAGCATGTTACAGATAACAAACAGCCACAATGCAACATACATGCTTTTTCTTTATGGTTGGAAGCATATAATTGTATAACAAACACACACACACACACGTATATATACACACACGCACACACACGTATACATTCACACACGCCTCTCTGAAGAGAGAAAGAGAAGGGGGTGGGATAAAAGGAGAGAAAAATAAAATAAGTAAGACAATATGAAAGATGGAAGGAGAGAACGTAAGAATTATTAAAAAGAGAAAAAAGATAAAAATAAAAACAAAGAGATGTAGAGAGAGAGAGAGAGAGAGAGAGAAAGAAAGAGAGAGAGAGAGAGATAGAGAGAAAAGAGAGAATACGTATGAATGATGATAGAGATGATAGATGATAAACATTCCATTGAATAAATATCAAACGTCCCCGGACAAAACTAGATGCACATAGAGAGAGAGAGAAGATGCAAGAAGAGAGAGAGAGAGAGAAAAGCGAGATAGAAAGAAAGAAAGAGGGAGAGAAAGATAAATAGAGAGAGAGAGAGAAAGAGAGAGAGAGAGAGAGAGAGAGAGAGAGAGAGAGAGAGACAGAGACAGATACCACCTCATAAAATCTAATAGATTCTATGTAAACACAAATGATGACCGATATTCATAATGTAAAACAGTGATGGCCAATTGATATTTTTCCGTTAATATTGGGATAACAATTTAAAATGCGCTATATAAATACTTATAATGATACTCGTCATCAGCAGCATCAGCATCATCATCTAAATCAAAATCATCATCATCATCATTGTCTTTATCCCTGGATACTTTACGTTGATATGAAAATAAGAATAGGTATTAACATGGGCCATTAAATATCATTGCCGAAATGGCATACACACACACACACGCACACACATACATACACACACATACATACATACACACATATGTACACACATACATACACACGCACACACGCATACGTTACTTTTATTAATATCGGTCATGAATTCTAAATGTGATTACATTTAAAAAAATACGCTCCCAGCCACACATTTTCCTAATTATAAAAAAAGATTTATTAATCATTGTAATATAATTTATTTAATTTTTTTAATTTTATGACTAGATTAATATCTCTCTCTTTCTTCTTCTTTTCCCTCTCTCTCTCTCTCTCTCTCTCTCTCTCTCTTTCTCTCTACTCTATATTACTACCTCTGTTTTTTTCTTTACAATCCATGCCATTGTTTAATTTAGCGGACACACATAATTAACGAGATTGTAATCTTTTTTTATTATAACTCTCTTAGCATAAAAATAATAAATAATAATAATAATAAATAGCAATAAAAATAATAATAATAATGGTAAATAGTAATAATAATTGTAATAGTAATAATAATAAGGAAGAGACTTCATAACGTACGTGAGTTAATATATCTCCAGCCTGGTATTTCATTTTTCGTCTGGTCTTCAATAATATCTTTACGGTCACCATCATCGTCGTCATCAGTGTTGTTGTTGTTGTTGTTGTTGTTGTTGTTGTTGTTGTTGTTGTTGTTGTTGTCGGAGGTGATGTCATTGATGGCGTTTTCACTGATGTCATTTCTACTAATACTGACTGCCGGAGTGTTAGACTTATTATTGTTATTTTTGTCTGTAGTATTGTTGGTATCATTGTTTATATTGTTGTTGTTGTTATTATTATTATTATTATTATTATTCTGGGTTTTCCCATCGTGTTGTTTCGAATCTGTCCTTATTTCGATATAACCGACGTTCGAGTCATCACTTTGAACGAAGTCATAGTCCACCTGAGTCTTGTTAGCGTCAGGAAGTTTGGAATTTTTGCGTTTCTTATGTTTATTTCTACCACTTTTGGTGTTAATTCTTGATTTAGTTTTATTATATTTTTTAAAAATACTATTATTATTATTATTTGCAGTATTTCTATTAATTTTACTTTTACTTACGTTAAAAGTGTTGTTGTCATCATTTTCATTATTGTCAGCGTCTGAAATTGTGTAGGTGTAGTTGGTGTGTTTAATTTTGTTGTTGTCGTCGTCAGCGTTAATGTCATTGTTGAAATTTCTGTTGTTGTTGTCAATGACGTCCTTGTTGATGGCATGAATAGTATTGTTAATGTCGTTGTTGTTGTTGTTGTGGTTGTTGTTGTTGTGGTGGTGATTGCTGTTGTTGTTGTTGTTGTTGTAGTGGTGGTGATTGTTGTTGTTGTTGTTTTTGTTGTTGCGGTATCTGTGGTTGTCGATGCTGTTGAAGTAGTAGTCAACAACGTTATTAAAATTAGTTGATGTTTTTGTGGACGGTGTAGGTGGATTTTTATTCTTGAGATCTGAGGTAGCTCCAAACTCATGGCAAGGTCTACATTTGTACTTGTTTTTTTCTGTTTTTATTAGTTTTACCTGGATAGTGATGCAAATGTGTATACATTTTACTGAAGAACTGCATTGGTGTCGAATTGATGTTGTTTGCTATTTGTAGTGAAATAAAAAAATATTATTTTCAAATATTATATTAATCGTAACATTAAAATGCATTAAGTCGTATGTTAAAATTTTTTTTATTTCGCAGTTAATATTTCAAAGTATTTTTTTGAGCTTTTTATTGTAATAAATTGAATAAAAAAAAATTTGGCAATTTACCCTTGAGGAATAGCCACTGCTATATTCTGAACAGCATTCCGTCTTACTGACTAAACTATTAAATGACGTCACAATGTCGCTACAACTTCCGTTCTGAACGTTGAAACTTTTGAAACATATCACGCCTCCTTCTAATTTTTAAAAAAATTGAAATATTTGAAAATATTTATAGGGATAAATAGTTAATGAATATTTTAATTTATACAAAAATTTAAAAAACAATTTTTCGTTTTTTTTCAGAATTAATAAAAATTTAAATTAAATAAAGAGAAATAGTTCAAATGTAAACGTACTTGACTGGGCCCGGCTAACAAAGCAGCCAACAAATATTATTATTAAAATCGATTTAAAATAGGAATTCATCTTTAATGTCGTAACTCAATTTCCAATGAAGAAACATTTGCTGGATGTTATCATTTGCTTCCGATGTTTGTCATAGCGAATTGTGGCTGTATGGCTTGGCTGGAGAGAGAGACTGCGTTTTGTGATGTGTATACGCACATGCGTTAACATGAAAGTGGGTACTGAAAGAGAGAGAGAGAGATGGAGAGAGAGAGTAAACGAAAAAACGCAGAAAGGAAAAAGGGAGAAAAAAGAGAAAGTTGAGCAAGAGACAGAGAGATAGAGGGACAAACGACAGAGACAGATCGACAGACAGACAGACCGACCGACAGACGGACAGATAGACTGAATGGTTCGAGGCAATGGCAAAAGGAAGCCAAATATTGACATGATATAAAGTATTGTTTACCCTTAACGCAGAAATATCCATAATAAGAATGTTTTTCTATCAAATATGATATGCTGATGGTGTCATTGAATTAGTTAGACTTTTAATGGTATGTAATTAATTTTATTTTATATATATATATATATATATATACGTATATATATAAATATATGTTTTACAATATTCTATAAATTCTACCGAATGTTTGGCGTTAATATGTTTGTAGTTCGTTTTTTCGATTTTTCTCACTAAAGTTTTTTGGTGAACGTTTAGTTTATTAAAATTCAAAATAAACTTATTTTTCGAATTCATGCGGCAAATAAGGCCATATTTCGATTCCGAATGAATCATCGTCAGTGCTCCTTGTTGTATATATAGGGAAATATTGACTTTGTCAAGATTAACTTTGACGTTGAATATTGACTTTGTCAAGATTAATTTTGACGTTGATAATTTTGACGTTTGATGAATTTATAGAATATTGTAAAAATTATGGTTTATTACCAACATAAATATATGTATACACACACACACACACACACACACACACACACACATATATATATATATATATATATATATATATATATGTTTATTTTGAATTTTAATAAACTAAACGTTCACCAAAAAACTTTAGTGAGAAAAATTGAAAAAACGAACTACAAACATTTTAACGTTGTTGCGGTAGAATTTATAGAATATTGTAAAAAAATATATATACATCAATATTAATAGAATAAATAATATTTTTTTTATTTATTCATTATATTATATTTATGTATGTGATGATCCAATGATTCCAATTGAGTCAGTTCAACTTTTTTATCTTTGCTATTATATAATAATTTTTCTATCCGGCACGTGTTTAGTGTTTATGCTTTGATGATGGCGTCTCACGATGTTTTTCAATTATCGTCCGAGCTGCAGGACATTATTCTCGCTAACAAATCCTTACAACTTATCGAGAATGGAAAAGTATGTTAATTCATTTTTATATTTTTTAATTTTGTTTGAAATTTTGGTCATTCGGTTTACATTTTATGCTTCGTTTTGTTTCCCCAGATACGCTGCAAACTTTCTGGACATGAGATTCCATGTAGATTGGATGCGATTGAGCAGTACGTGTCCGGCAAGAAATATCAGAAGTTATCTAAAGAATCCCTGATGGATCTGTCGCAATACAAAGATCACATCATCCCCAGTACCAAACCTAACCAAGAGTTAGTCTAAAAGTTTTTTTTATTTCTGTGTTTCTTCCATCAGGATCTGTATCATTTTTTTAGTTTTATTTATAATTTAATTTTGAGAAGTTAATGCAATAAAATATATATCAATATAGTATTTTCCTTTTTTCAAATCTTCATAGATCACTTTTTCCTGAAATGACTAAAAATTTTAGTTTTAAGTCACTAAATAAATTAAATAATTTTTTAATTTCTATTAGGCACTTGTTGTTCTGTAAGCTAACATGCAGGCACATCAACAACACGGTCGATGGCATCCAGAACCACATTAAAGGAAAGAAATTTCAAAGGGCTTTTCGTAGATGTAAGTTAAATCTATTTAAACATTTATAAACCTATTTATGTAATAGTCATCAGTGGAGTTTGAGTTTTCGCCAGATTATTAGCTAGTAATTAAATAATTATTTTTATAATGTATATTATAATTATGTTTATTTATTCCATAATTTTTATTTAAGAATAATTATTTATATCACACCCAGGGACTGAATGCCAGGCCAATGGAGTTAAATTCATACCAAATGCCGGTCGCACTACCAAGTTTGAACGGACAAGACGTAATGAGAAAGATGACGAGAATGATGAAGATGATAAGAAGAGTGTCGACAGTCTAAGTGATCTATATCCAGGCATGTTTTATGATTGGGGAAGCTTGATTTTTTTTTACATTATAAACGTTTTTTTGTTTTAAAAGGTATATGACATGTTCTTAAACTAAATAAATTTTTTATAAACTTTCTTTTTTTTAGGAAATTGTTAAGACCGAAATGTCGTTTAAAGATTTTTTGGAGACAATTAGTTATGATATTACCAGATTCAAATCTATGCGTAACCATGAAATTTCAATACAGAATGTTGAGTTGATGGCAGTCTATCTCATGATTGTCATCGTAATTAAATTCTGTAAAACCAAATTGCAGATCATTCATCGCTGATGTGATTGCATTGTTTTTTGTAATCACTTGAATAAACTTGCTACATTACAGGCAGTATTCTCACGAATGCAGTATAATGACAATCGTACTAATACTTGATAGTATATGTCATAGTATATGTATGCTAATTGGTGTATATGTACTACTTTGATGATTTTTTTGATGAAACATTTTTGTGGTAATATATAATTCAACCTATCTTAAATTTTTCATTTTTTTCTGTGTATGGCTGTTCGTCTATGTGTCAACATTTGTGGAATTCATTAAATGTTGGAAAATGTTCATGCCATGAAATTCTTTCTACAACAGCTGAAGACTTTCAAGAATTAAATTTGAATGATGATGATGACGACGACGAGGAGGAAGATGAGGATGACGACAAAAAGATGAGTGTTTCACCACCCAAGTCAAACATCTCTAAAAAGGTTTTGTTGTAAATTTTGAATTTTATATAATTTGTGGTAAAATATAAGTAAAAATGAATTTCTGACATTTATGGTTTGACAACTGCAATTATATTTTGATTTGCTTTGTTGGTTGTTAAGTTTTGAGGTTTTTTAATTGTTAACAGGCTTATTAAATGGTCCAAGATGACTTATTGTTCACTAGGAGTTTCCAATTTCTATGTCGTAGTCTATTTTCTGTTGTTCTATTGAATTTTGTACATGATTTTACATTTTTTTCAAAATTTTTTCAGTTTCAGGGACGAAAAAGAAAGGCAGTTGACAAGAAACCTAAAGTTCTCAAGTCCATTACAACTAAGCATACAAAGACCTCGTGAAATTTTTTTTCAAATTGTTAAATTTTTGTAAAATAAGAATGTTTGGTAGATTTTTTTGTAAAATAAAAATTTCAGATCATATATACCCTGATTTGGTTGGTTTTATCTGTTTTCTGGCTATATTTGCTGGCGGAACGTGTTTAATATTCAAGATATTATGGCGTGTTAGATTCGTAGCGTAATTGTAACGAGATACGCACGTTGTTAATAATTGAGAAACGATACCATTTAGTTCTTTCGGGGTATTCGACCGGTATTTTATGTATTTTTTACCGTGTTAACATACTATGCGGTTTATTTATTTAATGCTATTTTCATATATAGGATGGTAAAAATATAATCAAGATGGATGTCTTTATCAAAATTAAATGAAGCTATTGAATTGATCAAGTAATCGTCAACTACAAAGTTCTGAAAATTAAAAATTTTGCATCAGGCGTTCAGTCAATATAGCAATCCTATTTTAAATATAAATTGCTCTTTCATGCACCTTGCCATGTGACTCCGGAATGTTTCCACTTAACATTCCACGGATTTCAAACAGGATGAGCATCCGTAGAGATCGGGACAGCACATGTACCCCGGAGAGCACTTCCCTCTCTCGCAGTTGGGGCATTTCACGGGAAGCTGCAGCAGACGCTGTGGTTGCTTCACTCGCGGGCAGCCTATTTTGAGGGGTTTATTGAAATATTTGTCTCCCTCTTCGGTTTTATCCAAAAAAAGAATGGTGACCTCGATGTTAGCTATATTATATCTTCCGGGCCCATACAGTCTCGTCCATACAAACTAGCTGATGGGCCCGAAAGATATTAGGTAAGATTGGAAAGTAACGATGTCCGCCATGCTTTGGTTTTATCGCGTTCATTTGTCGGATCATTAGGGAAGTGTAATTGCATCACATCGCAGTAAGTCGCAGGAAAGTTAATGTAAAATGAAACTAACGTATATTAATATGACTCAAAAGTTTTTCTTGAGACACGTGTAACCACAGGACGCCTTGGGGTCAGCAATGCATTTCCTGTTTGGCCCACAGTTCACTCCCTAATTTGTGTATATATATATATATGTGTGTGTATATTAAAACATATACACACATGCACACAAACACACACACACACCTCTGATAAACTACTACTAACAGTGCACGGGTCGGCGGAGCAGCGACAGGTCTTGCAGCCATCGTCTCCAATAAGGTTTCCTACTGAACATTCAGTACACTTGAGTTCTGGACACTTAGCTGACAAAATATGTAATAATCATAATTGTTTGTGGGGTAATTGTTAGTTTGTGTGGCAAAATGATCGAATGGTTATGAGCCCACCCATCGCATGCAACGTGTGTAACGTGATGATTCACGCTTTTTTATATACGTGTGTGTGTGTGTGTGTGTGTGTGTGTGTGTGTGTGTGTGTGTTTGAGTGTTTGATACCTTTGAAAAAAAATTAGGATTGAATTGTGAAGAAAATGATTAATGAACCGACGCGGAGTAGGATTGCATTCACAAACGTGGCACCCTTTTACATTGATCAGACCGTGCTCGCATGGCTCCATGCCACCACACATAGGCTCTGCACATACTGCATGGTGTAGAGGACAAATAATTATAAAATATGTATAAATATTATAATAATAAATATTCATATTATTAATTATAATAATTAATTACATGGCCGGGACTTACCGGGCAGAGGATTACACTGGCAAGTGATGCAACCATTGTCATCTCTTTGATAGTCATAGGAGCAATCGAGTCCAGGGCAGCTGGTGATGTTGCATTCTGTTATAATTATAATTAATAATAATAATATTTCTATAATTTTTAATAATTACTATCATAATATATTACAACATAGTGAATGGCAACTTTTATGGGTTGCATGAAAAAAATAGTCAGGTAACATTTTTTTTCTGAAAAACAGTCTTCTCAAACATGCAAACTAAATGTTAGTCATTGTAGATTGTAAAAATCGCAAGCATGCAAATTGGAAGCCTACGAAGTTGACCAGGTGTGCAGTTGAACCTGGACTCTTTGAACTACATTTAAAATTTAAATTATTAAAAAATTGGTTTATGGATCAGAAGTTCGAAGTGAGCATGGGAAGGAGAATCGCATATCTTGTCCTCTTGAACTGGCTACATATAGAATATAGAATAATTTTTAAAATTTGCACTTAATGTATAAGTCTCAATCTAAATTTTTTCCTAAGCATTTATCAGATTTATTAATTGAACCTAAACGCCACGGTTTACGATCGTCTTCTTGTTCTCACTTTTAGTTATTTTTCTTCGTGTTCTCACAATTTTGTTCAAGTAAATTATTTTCACTAAAATTAATTTTCGATTAGAATTATTTCAATATTAGAAAATTTTTTAACATTTTTCGTAATGAAAACTGACCAGCCATCGATATCTTGACCATCATCATCATCGTCGTCGTCATCATCACGATCACCATCATCAAATTCTTACTCTCTTGTTTCATCATTCTTTGCAAGTAACTATTTATTTTTTGGTTATGTGATTTGGGCGAATTAATGAAAAACAAAAATGAAAAACGAAAATTCTTTACTCTAAAATGAACTCAATCATATTTGAAATTGTGAGTAAATTTACTATACGATTTACTGTAATAAGAAAGCTTATTGTTTTGTAAAAAAATCATTCAAGTTTAAATAATCAATCTCAATACATAACTACAATCTTCACCTTCCAACATGTACACCACAGTTATTAACGTAAGGTAGTTTTAAGTTATTAACTAACCTTTCAACTTCTGAAAGACACCTGGAAAATGATCGAAATTTGTAGATTTCCAATTTGAGATGACAGAGACATGGTACCTGCTTTTATAACCAGCGAGCTTGTTACACGTTATTGTTCTTCGTACATAATTCATATGCGTGTCTGCCTTATGTGCGTGTTATATTATATATGTACAATATAGAAATGCGAGAATAATTCGATAAATGCCAGTTGGTATAATGCCTGATTCTGCTGTTGATACATCTGCAAATTACTTATTTAAAGAAATTGTAAAAAAAAGCAACCTAAATTTTGTAGCGTAGTAGTTGTAGTGTGCGTATTTCGTGTAGTAGTAAATAAAATTTTTATATTTCATTGTGTAATTATTTATTTAGAAATTTTAATTTAATACATTTTATTCAAATTTTTGTCGTGAATGACGATAATAAAGCTAATTCGTGATTGCATACCACCCGCTGTTAAACGCGAGCGTTTAAGAAACCATTTCAAAGTTATAGTGGTTGGTTGCCAGGAGGGCTAACAAAATGATGTATGGCAATAATAAGGTTGGAGTTGTGCCTTTCACACTGAGGTAGTTGATTCATTTGTGTGGATTTTACAAGTAGAATATTTGTTTATATCAAATTTTTTGTTTCAAATTTTTAATTTTTTTCGAATTTCCGATACAAAAAGCTGATTCATTTGAAGATCAATTCTTTAATAAATCAATAAATTGTTTCAAAAATCAATGTTTCCTATAATATATTGAAATGTTTCTCTCTCTCTATCTCTCTCAAAACCACCAAAAACACAAAAATTGTTAGCATAGAACTCGTTTCTTGCATGAGAAACAGCCAAACCAGTCAGCGCAACACATGTAGCCAGCAGAGCAGCTTTTGGTGCCACAGTTCGCGTCGCAAGTTTTGCAGACGTTACGTGTGGTACTAAGTAGCATCGGTGATGTCACCACTGGGCAACCTGTGGTTGTTGTGGTTGGTGGTGGTGGTGTTTTTGGTGGTTGGTGGTGGCTGGTGGCGGTGTTTTTGGTGGTGCTTTTGTTTTTCTGGCTCGTCGATAAGCCGTCTTTAAGGTTATTGTTATTTTTATTGTTGACAATTCATAATTTTTTTTGAAAATGTGATAATTAAATGTTTAGCTACTAACTTCCCTATCTACAAAATAACTACAACGAATAAAACAATTTGTAGCTAAATATGAGAGCAGAATATACAGGGAAAAAAAATACAGAATACACAGGAAAAAAAACCAGATTACACAGGGAAAAAAACAGAATACACAGCAATAAAAACAGAATACACAGGGAAAAAAAACAGAATACACAGGGAAAAAAACAACATAAAACTTAATTCTAAACAACAGCGAACACTGAGCCATGCTAACAATAGTTCGGCTTGCATTCATAACCGGCGGCAACTTTCGCATTTGGCACGCACTTGGTGTCTGATGGACATTCAACATTCTGGGCCGGCGTTTGGGAAAATGGTTTTTTTTGTAACAGAAGTATAAGAATACAATTACTTATAACTAAGTGTATAGTAGTAACAGTACCACTACTACTACTACTGCTGCTGCTACTACTATTACTATTAATAATGATACTACTACTGCTGCTGCTACTGCTGCTACTACTACTACTACTACTACTACTACTACTACTACTACTACTACAAATATTATTACATTATTATATTATTATTTATTATATTATTATTTATATAATATAATTATATTAATATTATTATTATTATATTATTATTATAACATAAATAGACTAACGTAGCACGGGTCGGAGCACTTGCATGTATTGCAACCGTTGCTGTCGTAAATGTTGCCCATGGGACATTCTTCACAGAATGGCTGCCCGCACTTTTCTAGTAATTTAGTGATTTGATTGAAGTTTCATGGATAAATATGCGTGTGAGACAAATCAGTAGGCACGTGTTTATCTTATGTACGAGTATCTCTTTACATTCAAACTAAGGTTATTCAACATTACACCATATCTTCACCACTGTTAATTACTCTAAAGCTGTTGAATCAGCTTCATCGTATTAAATTTGTGTGAGAGCCTACAAAGAAAATCAGTGGTGGCTCTGTAGTCGCGTTCTGGTTCTCACTATAAGCATAAAAAATTTAAAAAAAATTTGTTGCTCTTATTTATACTTCTATCCATTCATACATCAATACTACTTTTTAGTTAGTTAGTTAATTAATTAATTAATTTTATTTTTAAAAATTGAAAAGTGGCCAAATTTGAAAAGCGAAATTTCTAACGAGGTTCGTCGTAGCAATCGCAGCCATGGCACCCTTCACTGTTTATTATTAAGCCATATTGGCACGTTTCGTCTGCATCAGGTGACATTTCACACATAGGCTCAGGACAAACTGGAAAAATTTAAATACGACATTACCTCTACTACTACTGCTGCTACTAATACTGCTGCAACTACTACTGCTGCTGCTACTACTTCTACTATTGCTGCTACTACTTCTACTACTACTGCTGCTGCTACTACTATTAATTTTATTATTATTATTACTACTACTACTACAGCAATTTCTATTACTACTACTAATACTTCTATACTATTACTACTACTACTACTACTACTATTACTACTACTACTACTACTACTACTACTACTGCTACTACTTCTATACTATTACTACTACTTCTACTACCACTACTACTACTACAACTACTACAACTACTTCTATACAACTACTGCTACTACTACTACTACTACTACTACTACTACTACTACTACTACTACTACTACTACTACTACTACTACTACTACTACTATACTACTACTACTACTAATACTACTACTACTACTACCAATTAATTATGAAACTATAACAAAGTAATGATACTCACTGGGGTAAGAGTTGCATTGGCAGGTCGGCAGGGGGCAAAAATTGTCATCACTCTGGTAGCCAAAGCTGCACCTCGGCTTGGTGCATGTTACATTACAGGGTACAACTATATGAAGAAAATATTATAATAGTTATGGTGATATATTATTAAATTATATTATGTTGAAATGTATTGTGTTGTATTGTATTGTGTTGTGTTGTGTTGTGTTGTGTTGTGTTTGTGTTTGTGTTGTATTGTGTTGTGTTTTATTGTAGAGTAATTCATTATATTTATATAATATATTAACCAATCTTATATTATTATGATGATTCCAATTATTAATTTGAAAATTTGTTATTATTTTCAACATTCATATACGCCAAATATAATTCAGAGCTTACTTAGGCGCTAAATAATGATGACGTTATGAGGATGGTGATGTTAACGATGATGATAGTAACAAATCATTATCAGTATGTGGTTAATCTTTTAATTATTAAATTATCGACACCATTTATGATGAAAATTAATAAAAAAATACTTTTTATTTAAAATTAAGGGAAATAATAAACAAATTATTGACTATAATAAACAAATTATTAACTATAATAAACTAATTATTAACTATAATAAACTAATTATTAACTATAATAAACTAATTATTAACTATAATAAACTAATTATTAACGATAATAATTAACCCATATATACAATATAATACCTATATAATCAGCTGTAGCTATTGGCGCCATCATCACCGCCATCACGGTCATCACCATCATAAGCACCATCATCTTGTTGAAAATTCTGAAATAAAATTTCAAGACTAAAATCTTGAAAGTGTAAACGCGTCTGTATGTATATAGCGTTCTATTTATTGATTTAGCTAACGTTTGGGGCAATCTATAAAAAAACAAAACCATAAACCATCACGTACAATGGCTTACGTGTAAATTTACAGGAGCTTATGATTAAATATATAAAATTAATATGTTGACACGTGTCGATACAATACAACATGATGTCACATCCGTAGTAGAAATGCATGGTCGGAATAAGTTATTATCAATTAATTATTGTTATCTTGTTATATTTGTTATCTTCGTTATTTGTTCGTCATTGATTGTTTTACCATAGAATCTTTTCATACCACGGAGGATTGTGAAAATCTACTGTATAGGCTGTCACACACACACTACTACACACACAAACACACGTGCACACGCACATACATACGCACATACAGGCGTAAATACACACACAAGTACACACCAGCACACATCACATCTGCATTATTCAATCACATACACCACCATTAACATTCCAACACGTGCGCATTTACATAAATTTTCAGGATACACACGCACGCACGCACACACACTCAAATCAGCACATACACATACACACAAATTTTGGTATTGTAACCATGTAAAGATATATTATTAATCACGTACCAACGCACCTACACGACTGTACCTTCGGGCGAAAATGAAACACGCACACACACACACAAACACCAAACACACGCTCACACACGCACACACACACACACATAACTCCTACACGAGAAATATTGACTGAAACACATCAATACTTAACTTACTGGTGTAACAGTTTAATGCCTTCATGCTCATGTTACGCTCGTAAAATACAAAGTTTTAAATGTTATAATGGGTGTAAGTTTTAATTATTATAAAAGATATAAAGAGAGAGAGAGAGAAAGAGAGAGAGAGAGAAAGGGGGGAGAGAAAGAGAGATATTATATCTATAAAAAACTTTATTATATTTATAGTTATATTGATCTCTATAATATTATAGCGATGGTAATAATTATTTTATCCTCTAGACATATGTGTGGGACAAGTCGATAATGAAATCATGAGCGTGTTATCATTTAAGACGTTGTTTGTTATTTAACATTGGTTTTATTTTCATTCATTCAATCGTTCGTTCGTTCGTTTATTCATTCATTCGTTCGTTCGTTCATTCATTCATTCACTCACTCATTCACTCACCATTCATTCATTCACATTCATTCATTCATTTATTTATTCTTTCATTCGTTCGTTTGCTCGAAAAAATAAATGAACGAATGAATGAATGAATGAATAAATAGATGAATGAATAAATAAATGAATAAATGGATGGATAGACGAATGAATTGTTTAACTAAAATATTAATTACAATTACTCATCTCTAAAAAATATTGTTACTACTTCGTTTTAGTTGTTCTTGGAAATTTAAAAATTAAGAACGTATACATTGAGTTCGTGATCTGTTTGTTATATATATATTTCTCTCTCTCTTTTCTCTCTCTCTCTTTTCTCTTTTTTTTCCCTCTCTCTCCATCTCTGTGTGTGTGTATTTATTTCTGAGGTGTTTGTTAGCCTGAGTGAGATTCAGATCTTGCAAACATAGGTGTGTAGAAAAAATCGGGATGGGATGGATGGGAGAAAATGTAATATTCCAACTAGTAAATGCGTTTCAAATATTGTAAAAAAAAAAAACAATTCGTGTATTATATTATTCAGATGAACTTTGGAACTATAGCAACCAGGCATTTTTATAAATTTGTATTTTGACTTTAAATATTGAGTATATTCATTCAAATTTGTTTACACCAAGACAGACGTATCGTTATGGGTTGAACTAACAGAGCTAGCTAGTATTATACACACGTGAAAAACAATTGTAATTGTTTGTTTGGTAAGAGACTTTTTTCACATTTTATAACAATATAACAATTGTCAAACACACACACACGCGCACACATACATACATACATGCACATACATACACACACACACACACACACACACACACATACAACACGCACACATACAAACAATATATTATCAGATAAGATTAAGAAGTTAGATATTTGCCAGACTCATCATCATTGGCTTCTTATATGTTGCAGAAATTCTGCGTTCTAACTCCATTCAAATGCTCAAACCCCGACTTTCACCATAATTTTTTCAGTTTTAATCTTAAGTCTTATAATTATAAATATAATTAAATAGACATAATTAATCACATAATTGGTATTAATACTCATCCTTATTATAATTTTACTAATATTATTATTAATTAATAATATTTAAACAATAAATCAGTCTAAATTCCTTATACAATGAGATCATCAGAGGTCCTTAAGTTATATACATGGATTTGTATACTGATGATTGGCTTCTTGCAGAAATGTACAATGTAAGTTATTATTTTATCGCGTATCAATATATTATTTTTTAATTATGGTTATTATTATTATCAGTAGTAGTAATAGTAGTATTGTTATTGAAATTATTATTATTGTGTTATTATTTATTGTTATTATATATTATTTATTGTTAGTTGTTCGTTTGTGTGATCTTCGTTATTATTATTATTATTATTATTATTGAATATTTTATTATTATTATTTTTATTACCATTGCACACGTACAAGCACTCACTCCTACACACACACATACGCACACACAGAGACGCACGCACACTGACGCGCATAGTCACACACTCATAGGCACACACACACACATAAGCACATACACACACACACACACGCACACACTCATATACACACGCACACACGCACGCACACAGATGCGGTATCACAGTTAACTTAGATGACCTAGATCGAAAAATCGACATGAGCAAAGAATGTTGGCCTGAACTCGTCGGAGAAGTATAAAAATATTGTATTAACCTCTCTCTCTCTCTTTTTTCTCTCTCTCTCTTTCTCTGTCTATCTCTTTTTCCTTTCTTTTTCTCTTCCTTTTCTTTATTTGTTTCATATCTATCTCTCTCTCTCTCTCTCTCTCTCTCTCTCTTTCTCCCTCTCTTTCTCTTTCTCATTTCTTTCTCTCTTCTTTATCTTTATTTATTTCATATCTCCTCTCTTTCTTTCTCTCCCTCCCTATCTCTCTCTCTTCTCTAATTAATAAATGCACATGTTCGTACCAATTAGACTACTCAGTATGCGAGGAGGATCATCACGTTGGAGAGGCCAGATCTAAGAGTTAGTGAATAGAAATAAGTCTCTGTCTGTGTGTGTGTATTTGTTTGTTTGTGTGTGTATGTATGTGTGTGCGTGAGAGAGAGAGAGAAAGAGAGAGGGATCATCATCGCGTCATCATTTTGTAACGTTTCCCATAAAAAATAACCATAAAAAATATTTTTATGGTTTATGGTGAATAATTTTTTTTGCTTAAATTACACTTGTACGTATTTTAAAAATAGGCAATTTATCGATTCTAGATATTAATTTGCATCTATTCTCTCCCTCTCTCTTTCTTTCTCTCTCTTTCTTTCTTTCTCTCTCTCTCTCTCTCTCTCTCTCTCTTTCTTTCTCTCTCTTTCTATACAAACAAAATTTATTTTTACGTTTTTATTATGGCATTTAAAAGCTACGGCGACAATCGATTAGGTAGTTAATATCACATGGAATATATCTTCTCCACCCGTAAAATGTTTTTATCGTCTTGTTAATTAATGTTAGATTGCGCGTGTGTGTCTGAGTGTGTGTTTGTTTGTTTGTTTGTTTGTTTATTTGTTTATGTTTATTTGTTTGTTTGTTTGTGTGTGTGTGAGTGTGTTGTGTATCTGTGTGGTGTTGTGTGTCTGTGTGTTTTTTCTGTGTGTGTTCTGTTGTTTGCTTGTTTTATGTGTGTTCAATTGAAGTGAAGGGTTATTATTATTATTATTATTATTATTATTATTATTTATAGGTCAAGCAATAATATTGGTATAGGAAAATCTTTAGTTTAATTGCATCAGTGATATATATGTATCAATATATACTCACGTTGTAGAAGAAGAGATTACACATACACACACACACACACACACACACACACACACACACACACACACACACACACACACACACACACACACGAAAAACCCACATACACACACATATATACACACACGCACGCACACGCACAGGAAATCACATTCTTGGAGTCAGAGGGCAGTACAATGGCGGGAAACATCGATCCGTTCAGGGTTTACGTATTAAAGAAGGAGGGCAGGGTCGTACATTCGCCCTGCGTCGGCTGACCATGATGATGATGATGATGATGATTGTGGTGACAATTATGGTGATGATGATGACAATTGTTGT